TAGTCGTGGTTCTCATTTCTTTAATATCTGTGTCCTCTAGCCTTCCCTGTCTACCAGCTGTTTTATTCGTTCTGCTCTACTTTTTTCCTTCCCGCGTTTCTTTCATCTTTCCCGTTAATTCTTACCTCTCCTACGTTTTCCTATATTTTTTTTCCTTTATTTCTTCTTATATGTTTCCCCTTCTATGCTCTATATCCCTCTACAGCATAGCTTCTCTCTAATTGCTCTTTTCTCGTTCACCCTCGTTCAACCGTTTACTACCCTCGCCTCGAGTCAATAGAAATACACGAAGAAGATAGTTTATCTCCGATACCATAAACGTGCTAGATGTTATGGATATCGCGCTGAGTTACGGACCAATATTTCTTCGTAATTATTCCTCGGTACAGAAGATTACTATCGAGAATACTGGGACATCTTGCACCTTATGGTAGTATTTATTTTATATTGTTCTCTTCTATTTTTATATCATTTTTATATTTTCAACGATGAGTGAAATTATTTGTTAGAATAATAGAAAGAAATATATAAAATCTAATAATTTACAAAAACTAATCTTTAAAATAAGTCTATAAAAAAATAATATTCTATAATAGTCTTTATTAGTCTATAATAGTAATAATCTATAAATAATAATATATAAAATGAATATTAATATTTTAAGAAAATATTATAAATCAGATTTTTCAATTCATGATTTTTATTACATACATGAGAAAACATTAAATATTTATCAAATTTCTTTTAAATATTATATACACGTATATTATTTATCTATGTTTTTATTTATCTTCTATTTCATTTTGAAAAATAATACATTTGTATCTCTTTTCTATTGAATCATTTATCTAATATCTCTAATTATTAAATATATTTATATTTTTTTTTAATCTTTTCTTATAATTTCATATAATATTTGTATAAGTATGAAAATATCCTTTATATCAATTTACAATTGTATTATTTATATCATGTTCAGTTTAATTATATATCTATTATCGAAACTTTCAAATTACAAATCAACATACTTCGATGACTAATAAGATCAGTTATTTCATTATTTTACACCATGAATATAATACAATGTTGCATAAAATTAATGAACATTTTTAAAAATTTTGAGATGTTTCTTTAGAAGTTTTTTTTATTAATTTATTACAATTGATTACAAATAGTAATACAAATAACATTTTAATTACACAAATATTAAATTAAAAGACTTTAAAAAAAGAAAAAGAATATTGTCAAATTTCAATCATAAGATCCATAATTTTATTCGATTAGATACATTAGAATTTTCCTTCACAATTATAAGTAACTAAAGTAAATAAAATTGAATTAAAAGAAAGAGAGGAAAGAAAAATAAAAAATCAAAAAAAAAAAAAAGAAGCTGAGAGTATAGAAACTTAATATTGTACATATTAATATTATAATATTATGTACAATATATATACAATAAATGTATGTCAGTATACAAAATTAACAAATTATAATTGTCAGTAATATTTGTAAAAACATTTATATAATTCCAAATGTGCATGAAAAACTTTGAACATCCATCAGATATTGAGTGTTCGAGATAATGAGAAATCCTAGACGGCAAGAAATCAGTCATAATTGCGCGAAAAGTGTTTTTCCTTTTCTTTAAGGTCGAATCGGTAAAATTAATTTCTCGTTATTTCGCTACCTCTGGCGACGATTAACGAGGGCTCGCAACTATTCCTTCGCGTGAAAATTGCTGCAGGCCAACAATTAGTTCCAGAATATCCTCAAGCCACACTGACAGATTAATTTTCAAATGCCCAAGTGTCTTGCAGAAAAATGCTTCTTCTCTTAATGATTTCGATAATTTTCATAATTTTTATTTCGATCGAATAAATCTGTTGTTATATTAGTACAGTTTCCGAATTTCGTAGTCTGAATCGCGAACTGCGGATTTTATAACTAAAAATTTTTTTTTTGAGATTTAATTTTTTATATATTTTATTTTATTATTTTACTGTTGTTTTCGTGAATATTTTAATATTCTTTTATCATATTTTATACACGAGTAATATTAAATTTTATACATATCGTATCTCTCATACGTACAATGAATACAAAATTATTCGTATACTCTTTTAAATCGGAATAATCTTTTTAAAATTGGACCAAATGATTTAAACTTTTCTGAAATATTAAAAAGATATAATTTAAGATAATATAATTTATAACATAATATTAATTTAACATAACATAATATGTAAAAAGAAATTATAAAAAATTGTTATAGGAATTGTAAAGGAAAAAGTAAAGTCACGATTTTTAACTTTTATATTTTAAATTATAATGAAGATTTAAAATATGTATTTTTTTGTAGATTTAACAAAATTATATTCATATATAAAATTTCATGGACTAATATTACTCTCAGCTACAAACAATCGAAAATACTTCATATTTTTTCATTTTTTTCGCCCTATAGTTATAAATTTAAAATTTTTTACATCTTTCGATGTTTTGAACTTTTTTATGTGTCGAATGATTTCGATAACTTTTTATGAATTTTTGTGTAATATAATTAAATAATTATTCAAAATAATTATATTTTTATACTTTAATATGCATTTCATTATACATTAAAGTTTAAATAATATTAATTATTCATTGTTTGATTATCTTTACACTTATAATACTTTAATAAGAAATAGCTAGATAATTATTTATGAAAATTTATAGAAAAAGATGATTAATATTTCAATAAAAGAATATTTGATTGGTAATGTTTTTTAAAAATATACACGAAAAAAATAAAAAGAAAAAAATTATTGTAATATTTTAATATTTAGGTTATTTATATGCAGTATTGTATATGTATATATGCAGTATATTTGAAATACAATTCAACACGACATTCAAGTTGATATTGGTGTATAAACGGTAATATTTTTCTCATTGAATATTTTTCGCGAAAAATATATCGATTTATAAAACCAGTAGTATTATACGTAATATATAGATACAATATTTTCTCCGAAATACGATCTTTTTATTACTTATTTTCTTAGCTACTAAATTTTTTATTATACATATAAAGGAAAATATATTTTACAAATAATTTTCTATTTTATTCTTCTGTTTTTTAATGTCAATGATTTTGAATTTTTCAATATTATATATTTTTATAATAAATATGATATGAATTTTGTAGTACTTTATCTAATTTTTTCATTATTTCTGATTTGATGTTATTAATTAATTTAATTTCAAAAATATTTTATATACTATGTGAATATCTCAGTCCCAACGTCAGTTCCAAATTTAATTAATTAAAAAAATTCATTCAATTTTATTTCTGCTAATATAGTAAGGAAATATATATATATACTATACATTATTATTATATATATTATTTTCGTAAAAAAAAAAAAAAAAATAAGAAAAACAAGATTGAAATTTGCAGAAAAAGAAAAAGTTTTGAAGAAAAAGATTTTAAAAATATGTAAATTTGTTAAAGTTATCAATTATGATATAAATCTAAACAGATCAGAAAATTTTATTGATGTAAAATTTTAAATTAATACATATATATCTAATTTTCAAAGTTGATTCCTTTGAAATAATTTCATACATAAAGATTTCATATAAGAGATTTCATTATTATTTTCAACTTATTTTTATCTTAGAAGTTATATCCTGCTCAGTTGTACCAAGATAAATCTTTTATATTATAAGTATTTGATTATGTTTCAAAAATAAATCTATATAAAATATGTCAAAATATTAATTTTTATTTTATTTTATTCATTTATTTTTTTCAAATCTTTTTTATTGTCATGATAAAATTTTAGGAGATGTTAAATATGTAGATTCGAAATAAGCTTGGAATTTGCCACAAAATTGTTTAAAAAAATAATAAGTACTTTAATAATAATCTTAATAATAATCTTTTATTTTAAGCAAGATCTTTTTTTTTCACTTCTTATAAAATTTTTATATCGCATAAAAAGTAATTTAAAAAAATGTATCAGTGAAAAATGATGAGTTATTGGTTTCGAAAATATACAAATGTAGTTATAAACATAAAATAATTTCCTGAGTATCAATCAGTTGATAAAATATTGAATATAAATTTAATCCGCAATGAAATAAAATTGGACTTGTTAAGATATAAATTTCATTATTTTTAAAAGATGCAAATGATTTTGACAAAGTTATTTCTATTATATTAAATACTAAATATTAAATAATGAATATGCTTATTTATTTTCATTATAAATTAGTTATAATTAATTTTTATTGTAACTTGTTATGCATAGTATATCTATATATCTATATTTAAATATACATTATAAACAATAAATGACACAATATAATCATTTATATTATTCTTTTTATATTCTAAAACTGTTTTTAAAACTATTTAAATATATTTTTATTTAAAAATTGTTACTATATTATATTTATTATAATATTCGTAAAAAGAATTTTTTAAATGATGATTAATGATATAAAAAAATTTCTAGAATGATATTTTTAAGAAAAAGCAAGAAAAATTTATTAATTAATTTTAATATATCTATTAATAGACACAATTGTCATTCATTTATTGTCATATTTATCATCTCAACGATCTTTTATTTAATTAATGAATTTTATTTATTTAATGAATTACATAAAATATTCACGTGAAAAAAAAAATGTAAAACTAAATAAAACAAGAACAGAAAAAAATGTCAATGTGAAACATCTTAAAAATATATAAATATATATATTGTATATAATTGAGAAGGTGTTGATTGGTTTTTTAAGAAAAACAATTGAGATGGTTACGTTAGGTAGGTAAATCTACTCTATAGGTGAGTATTTCTAAAATTGTATTCTAAAACTGTATTTTCATTCTTAAATTTTTTCAATGAATATAAATACCAATCTTATTGTATGTATAATATATATATTGTATGTATAATATAAGAAAAAATAAAGAAAAAGTTCAATAAAAATAATTTTCTTGGTTGCAGGATGGTCCGCATGATCGGCGATGAATTCCTTACGGAGGAAAGGGACCGGAAATACTATGCTGACCATTACAGGTGTTGTCCGCCGCCTCTTTTTATCATCCTCATCACCCTTGTGGAGGTTAGTAATAATGGTTGTTCTTCATAATACATTCAACATTTTAATGCAGCTTTGTGATTTGAAATTCGTGAGTTTTGATCACGCTATGTGATCCGCTAGTTATTAGTGAATTTTTAATGAAAGTTATATAGTTAAAAAGTAGCCACCACAAACATGTTTTAACGAAGACACTAGAATCATGTTATAGTCATTATTTATTAAAAATATTTTTAATACATGTGTTTCTTTTTTCCTACTACTATATATTTCAGCGCTATTATATATTTCCATCTAGTTAATTTTATTGGATTAATGAGAAAATGTCGGTTTTGTGAGTGAAGAAGAAATAAATCAATTTCCTATAATGTATCAATATAGTCATAAAAATATTCAACCTACTACTATTTCATTTTCTGTTTTTCAATATATTGAAATTTGTTTTTCATAAAATCATGAATTTTTATTTGTCATTGTTTATAGCAAATAAGCGATATGATCTTATAAGATAAATTGATTTTTCTTAATTGCTATAACAATTTATATTATTTATTTATTAAATTCAGACAAAAGGAAATGAATAAATAATAAAATACCATCTCCATAACAATAATATTCGAACCATTAAAATCATTTATCTTGTTTGAATCAAAAATCGATGTAACTTTTTCACCGACCCAATATATCGTTCCATTAATATCGCGACAAGGACGTCTTTTTTCACACGGTTGAAAAGGTGCCTTTTTGGTTTTCACGTTGCCGCTTTAGCCACGTTATTAAATTTCCTCGTGTGAATTTGTTCTCACTCTGCAAGAGAGACGGAGAGTGAAAACGTTGTGTAAAGCGTGGTCGTTAATTTTGGTTTACATTATGCGGTCAAATCCACGAGAACGGCGTAAGTTTATGGGGGAAAGTGTAAAATACCGTATAAGTTGTTCATATATTGGAATAACACACGTTATATTAAAGCACTTTTTCTAACTTCATTTTGTCTCGCAATGTATGTAATGCGTTTGGATACATTGTTGCGGTACGGTAACTGCATTATTTATATTAAGCAGTCTCGTAAATGAATTTCTTTATTTTCAACTGGCAAGAATTATATTTATTTGATGAATGAAATTCTATTTGAACGCTTGTTTTTTTTTTTTTTAAACTTTTTACATTTTCCAATACAAAAGAATAATAAAGAAACAAAATTTTATAAAAATGAATGTTAAAATATTTATTTATCTACGTATGTACTTGCGATGTACATTAACAAATATAAGAGAAGTTTATTTACTCATAATTATTTATCATGAAAATGTTGATACATTATAATTTACTTATCAAATTGATAATTTCATAATTTTATATGTTATGAATTTTATAAAGAAATATTTAATTCTCATTGATTTCGTTTTTTTATTTTAATTAATAAGAAAAAAGAAAGATATATTATACATGTATAATAATTTACATTGTTTTCCTAATTATATAATATATAAATATAGGAAAGAATTCATGAAGTGTTGTCATTGCGCAAATACTATTTAGTAACTATTATTTAGTATAATATAAAGAATAAAAATAATATATAAGAATATTATTTTATTATTGTAAGAAATAGTAATTATTATTAACTACAAATTCATTGTTAAATTAAAATTCATAAATAATTAATAAATTATAAAATAAAAAAAATTAAATTTGTGATTTTATGTCATTGATTACAAGATTCGTATTATTCATTGTTTAATACAAACATAATTATATTAAATTTATTGTAAATAAAATAGTATAATCAAATTTTAGTAAAAAAATTATTTCCTTGAAATTTTTTTGATTGAATAAAAAATAACTCGTATATTCTTTCATATCGAATTTCTTTGATATATGTATAGTGAGTTATGAAATTGATTATATAGTGTGTTATAAGAAAATTTACTTAATTAATGATTTTAATGAAAGTTTGAATATATAAAACATAATCAGTTATACATAAAATATTTTGTTTTTCACAAAAGATATTTTTGAAATGATGAAATAAATCCCCAAAGTTTTAGAATTTTTCTTGAATGCATTTTAAAAAAATTTTTTTTTATAATAGAATGATAGAATGTTAAAAATTTAAACTTTTTACGTAAAAAAATTCTTTGTTTCACACCATTATAAGGTTATATTTAAGAAATGAAAAATATTGAAATTTTCAGCATTAATTTCATTTTTTTAAAGTGATATTCTATTGAAAGAAAATTGTTATAAATATAATCTATTATTTTCTATACTTGCAAACTTTTATTAAAAAATAAAATAATTTTTCTAGTAAATTCTAGAATTTAAAAATTAAAGGAAGAAAGAAGAAAAAATCGTTAATATAATTATATTGAAATTATCTATAAACTCGATCAATCACCTTTCATTATTCATGAGTTAATATTATTTAAATTGTTCCAGTGATTGTAGTATAAAAATCCATCAATTTTCTCATTTTTTGTAAAAATGATTATCTGATAATTACGCTTTCTGATAAGAATCTCGTTTGTATGATAATATACAAGGTATAATATTCTTCCGATACGTAGATATGATTGATTATTTTTTAACATGAGTGCAATTCGTATGCGAAGAATTTCACTTCATAGTACCACTCATGAAAATAATAATGAATCGAGACTTGCGTCCCTTTCTCCGATTGCATCGACCAATTTTAGATAAATGCTCTCGATACAGGTATTTCAATGAATTTTTAACGAGAATATTTTGCAACGATTTACTTTCGTAAGCATCATCGTTTAATTGGAAACGAAATAATCCACTTTGTTAATTTTAACTCGCAAGCAATAATTTTATATTCATTTTGAATATTTCGCTTAAAAATTCTTACTACTGAATTATTTATTAATATATTCGTATCGTTTTCATTCGTTTACCTCTCGTTCTAAAAATTCGGAAAAAAAAGAAAAAAGAAATTGCAACAATTCTCAATCACAAGATCCATAATTTTATATTTTACTTAGATAATATAGTTTTTCTACAATAATTACAATGATTAATATCCACTGAAAATTTTCGATATTATTATTATGTGTATATGTATAATATATACGTATTATATATATGTATAATGTATATATACAAATATTTTTAAAAAATTAAATTTGTTAAAAATTAAAAATTACATTAGTATCTTTCTATTAGTAAAAATTCATGTATATTTTATATCACTCAAAAATATTTTACATTGAAGTATTTTTTTAATTAAATTAAATTATTTATATTAGATATAATTATAAATATTAGATATTTGGATTTTTTAAAAAAACTTTTTAAATATAAAACAAATCATAAAAGATTTCGGATGTAGTATAAATATATACTTAATCCTTTCGATTGAATTTTGTTAAATAAACATGTAATATTGGCGTAAACTTATAAAAGTTCTGTAAGAAATATGTGCGTTTACAGAAACTGAATTGAATTTTAATGTCTTCAAATTGAAATATTTATTACGATCAATTTAAAAAAATCAACTATGATGCAAAGTGTGCAAATACATTTAATCTATAAAGTTTCTAGCTTTAATAACTTATGTTTTTAGTATTTTATATGTAACATTTGATTTTATTATTAATTGCATATAACATATTTTTGAAAAAATAAATTTATATATATTATACCATGAGAGAAGATATAATTTTAAAGGGCGTATTGGTTAATACTCATTAGCTATTGGATTAATATGATACATGTATACCAGACATTGTCAAATTCGGCTCGAATCTAATTAGAATTTATTGCACTCTGCATCTTTATTTCTCTTCAATTTATCCTTCTTATCCCATTACGTGTTTTACGTTTATTCGCACATATATTCCAGCTTCGCGATACATTTTTTTTTATTTATTCTTTTTAGATTTTTTTTCGTAACTTTTATATTTGATTTTGTATTTTCTTTGTTAATCAATTAATATCGTAATATATTTGATTTAATATATTTTGCAATAAAAAAATTCTCCTTTTTTAATATAAGTATTTTAATATTTATTATTTCAAAGTATTTTACAAATTAAATAAATAAATAACTTAAAATTCAATAAAAAGGAAAATAAGTGAATTTTCATAATAATTTTTTTTTTAAAATTGAAATTTGAAGAGTAGATATAGAATAAAAAGAATATCATAAAAAACAATATGTATCATTTCTTTATCAATCATTTCAAATGAAATACTTGTAAAGTAATAAATGATTTTAATAAATTCCATCAGTTTAGTTTTTTTATTGAAAGTAAACCTAAGAAAAATTATAATTGATTAAAAATAATATATTTAAAAAAATTATAAAAAATATAAATCTATAGGTCATTTTTTAAAAAGCTCTTTATTCAAATTATGTAGAAGTTCAACTGATTTATTCCATCGAAATTAGTCATTCTATAAAAATCAGACATTCATTGTACATTAAGCATAAAATAAAAAATTAATTCATAGTTTCATATTTCAATTTATTTAACTATAAATAATTATTATATTCGATCAAAATAGAAATAAGTATATATTATTATCAATCAAATTCGATGCATAGAGAGATCATGTTGTCAATTTTCATCATCAGAAAAAAATATTGTTTTCGAATTATTTTATTTTTTCGAAAAAAAAAAGAAAGAAAAAGAAAAATTTATATCTTTTCTTTTTCATTATTATTTATATCACTATTTCAATCGCACCGTTTCTGTTTTCGTTACTTTTCATTTCCCATTTTTTTCTTTGTATCTTGCGCTTTCATTTTCTCATTCATCTATTTTTTTCTTCTTTTTAGTGTTACCTATGTTGTTTTTTTTCGTTATTCCTATTTCTCGTTCTGATAACCCCCTTCTAATAGTCCTTTTTCGCTTTCGTCCATTTTCTTTCACCTTCTTCTATGTCGACATTTTCATTTGTACATTCCCGATTCTTTGTCGCATTTATTATTGTGCGTACATTCATGTCTAAGCATACATTTGTGTTGTGTATTAATAACGTAGATATTAACTGGTTATTTT